TGAGAATATCTAAATAGTGCGAAGAGAGGTGAAGGGATGTGCCATGTATTTATTTATTCCAAAATTATGAAAATTTAAGAATAAACATTTGAAAACTTTTGACATAATAAGTATATTTGCTTATATATATAACTAGTCTATCACCCGTGCTATGCACGGAATAATTATAAATATTTATATTTATTTTAGATTTTTTTTAATATATAAATTATGTTTTTTAAGATTTTTTATAAAAATAATTTAACAATTTTATCATTATGTACCATAATGTATGGGAGAAGTTGAAAAAAGTACTGCAATAACTATACACAGATTATATTTATAATTATTTGTATGAGGGGATTTTAAATGCTGATGAGAGCTTTTGACCAAATTAATAAATGCATGCATGTGGGAAGACATGTGGATTGAAAAAAATTAATAAATGCTGATCAGGGGATAGATATTTATATTTGTTTTAGATTTTTTTAATATATAAATTATGTTTTTTAAGATTTTTTATAAAAATAATTTAACAATCTTATTACTAACCATAGTGTATGGGAGAAGTTGAAAAAGGTACTGCAGTAACTATACACGGATTGTATCTATAATTATTTATATGAGGGGATTTTAAATGCTGATGAAAGGATTTTAACCAAATCAATAAATGCAGGCATGTGGACTGAAAAAAGTTAATAAATGCTAATCAAGAGATTTCAACCAAATCAATAAATGCTGAGTTTTTTTTTAAATCAAAAAATTAAGAAATTAGGATTGAGAGATTGAAGCTCTCACAAAGCTTGGGGGGTAAAAACCCCCTTTTGCTTAATATATAGTATAGATAATTATCTATATATGTGAATTGTGATTTTTAAATGTCTTTTTTTTAAATGTCTTTTTTTTTCCTTTTTTATATTATATTAAAATTTAGTATTTTGATAATAATCATATGTGTTGGACTTTTCAAGGAATTAAATGTTTTCTTTTTTTTATTATATTATATTAAAGTTTAATATTTTGATAATAATCATATGTGTTGAACTTTTAAAGAAATTTTTTTTATGCTTGTTCTTAATGCATTACAGTGTTATTATGAGGGATAATAATCATATGTGTTAGGACTTTTCAAGGAATTCATATTTGTTGGATTTCAAAGAATTTTTTTTTATAATTGTTCTTAATTCGTTAAAGTGTTATTATAAGGGTAATACTTGGGGTTGAGAGAAGTTAATAAATGCTAAGGTTTTTTTTTTTTTTAAATCAAAAAATCAAGAAATTTAGATTGGGAGATTGGAGCTCCCACAAAGATTAGGGTTAAAAACCCCTTTTGCTTAATATATAGTATAGATATAGATAGATTATAATTTTTTATTTATTAAAAATACCATGTTAATAATGTTATCTAATATTCTGAGACTAATTAATTGTCTAACGCAATCAGCGGTAGGTCAAGTTGAAAAGAGTAGTATGCATGCATTTTTTTTTTTTTTCTCATTCTACTTTTACTAAAACTTTAAAGTTCGAAGAATTTTCTGCATGCTGTTGGGTGGCATGTTTAATACTTGGTAAACATTTAATGAGGTATGAAACACTGAATTATATGATCTCTTCCCACCATTTATAAAGCTTTTTGATTTGGATATGAAAAAAGGGGGGAAAAAAAAAAAACAAAATTGCTGAGCCTAATGTTATGTTTGGGATCTTGAAATCTTTCAAGAAAAAGGAAAATTTATTACGGGGAATAAAATTATTTATACGAATTCAATTTTGTTGCATAACCAAATGTTTACACAAAAAACTTATTTGGGAAACTATTTTTTGATTTTCTTCTTCTGAAAACAACCTGTATTCTAGGAAATATTTTAAAATTATTTTCTGAATCTTTTTATTGTTTTTTTTCCCCCTTCTAAATACACTAAAAAATGAAAAGTGAAAACATCAACTATTAAACATACAAAAGCTTTCAAAAATGTTAAAGAAAATATTGGCGGGTGATAGTTATGAAAATATTAAATATTGAGTCCCCTTTATCATTTGGGTATGAGGATGATGAAGAAACCTACTACAGAAGTTCTCGAAATTTGATTTTCTCATATTTAATTTACAACAATGGAATGATAGTTAATATCAAGTTGAGATGTGTAATTGGAGCAACTTTATAACAATACACACATTAAAACCCTTTTAGGTAAGTATTGCTCTTGTTGGTGCCAAAATGGCAAGTGTAATGGAAAAGGATGGATTTTTATTTTTTATTTTTTTGGCTTCAAGCATGTTACTATGTTGCTTTCTTTTAAAATTATATTCGCCTCCATAAATTTTATCCAATCTAGTGTGCACCGGTTACAACAAATCTATCTTTAGAATACAATCAAATTCAGTCCTAATGACTATTGCTTGATTGCGTTATGCACAACGAAATTAGATCCAAATATTTTGAATTTTCAAGTCAACCAAATAGAAGATAAAAAAATAAAATAAAATAACAAAGATGAAGTTTAGAGAACAAATTTGGAAGTTCCATATCCAAATACCAAATCCTTGCTTTTATATAATCATAGGTTTTATGACCATCAGACCACGAACTAAAATCAGACTAATTTGACAAAATTGAAAAAAAAAAATTAAAGACAAAAATAATAAAATTAGAACTTAAAATATCAAAATGACAAAGATATATACATACTTGAGGGACATTTTTGAAAAAAAAAAAAAAAAGAGAAAAGATAGGGATCATGAAAAAACTTTCATGAAACTGATCATGAAAAATTTATGACCCTTAGATTACCTTGATTAGTGTGTGGTGCTTTATTTTAAGTGTAATCTAAAGGTCATAAATTTTTCATGATTATTTTCATGAAAATTTTTTCATGATACCTAGCATTGCTCAAAAAAAAATGATAGTATAGAAGAAGGCTTAGGCTTAAGAAAAGAAATATAGAAGAATGTGATGGAAGAAGAGAGAAAGAGTCAACCAAGAGGAATTAATGGTAGGAAAACTAGTGAATGTCCTAAACAACTGTCTGTGTTCACCTGCCTTATGTCTTTGCACATGGAGGGGTCTTCCCTTTGCAGCCCCTTTCTGAATACTTTATAAATGAATGGCCTGCAAGCCGTTGGAGATTAATTAATTTTCATATTTATCAATCTACTTTCTTTTTTTTTTAAATTTCTTATTTGGTATACTTGGTATTTTCATTGCAGTTTTTATTTATTTATTTTTTTTAAAACATTTTTTATATCAGTAAAAATCAATGGTTAGTTGTTAAATTAGCACTTTGGGAGAGTTGAACTGAAACCCATATACCTTATAAGAAAATCTTTGTCAAAGGATTAGCCATACACCTTGCAAGAGAAAGTCCTCTATACCATCAATTTTTTTGAGTTCAAAAGCTAACCCAAGACTTACCCGTTAGGAGAGATTTGATGGTCAAAGGGTTAGCCAATTAGGCTAGAGCCCTTAGTTGTTTTCATTGCAGTTGCAAGAAACTTGGCATCCTTTTGGATTCTGCTATGGAATATGGGTCTTATAGAAGCTATATCCTATGACATATAGATTATTGGACTTTAATCCTCTCCATTTCATATATTTAATGAAAGATTTTCATTATATATCTAATGGTTATGAAATATAAATATAAATTGGTAATTATTTTAAATGAAAAAAGATAATTATACTCACCATTGAATTATGTAATGAAGCCTCACCATTTCAAATATACAATGGAGAGGATCACAATTCTAGATTATTAATTAGCAGCATATTGTTTCTGAAGTAAACTATATTGTCATTGTTTAACATATATGGTGGTTTGATAAACATATTTAATTAGCATTTTGGGAGTACTTTCTCTTAATCTTTAAGCAAAATATATGCAAGTGTATCCACTTTGAAAATGTCAACACATGGTTTATATTATAGTCAACATGTTTCTGTTGCCTGGGAATATTATGTTTGAGGCAACTAAATGAAGAATGTTTTCCTTCAAAACTTTTACATTATATTTTAGTAACAAAGTCATTATCTTTCTCTAGTTTAATAACTGTAATAGTGCAACTACAGTTTTATAACATTGGTACACCTAAACTTGGTTATGAGAGAGATACCTCTTGGGTTGTGTTTTCATTTATTTCATTTTTTTTTTCATGTTCTTTTAAAAAAAAAAAAAAAAAAACAATGAATAGTTTAAAAACACTTATCCATTGTTTAATTTTTATGTGTGAAACAATCACTACAACAAATTAAGGTTATAAAAATAAATATTTAGGGACAAATTCACTTATCTTAATTGTTAAAAGTGTCATTTTTGTGTTTTTAGGAGGAAATTGTTTAGGGACAAATTCACTTATCTTAATTGTTAAAAGTGTCATTTTTGTGTTTTTAGGAGGAAATTGAACATTTAGTATTGAAATTACAATCTTTTTAAGATCAAAACTTTCATCCCTAAAAGTAAACCTTTTGAGGAAAATTGATTTTGTCTTTAAAAATGTATTTATTAGAAATATTTTTAAAATTTTGTCACTGCATGTTTTTCTTTTTTCTTTTCTTGAAAAATTTCGCTTTTCGGGATCAAAAAAATTAGTCCCTAAAAGCTTTCAAAAGTTCAAAAATAACTGGTTCATGTTTTCTAAAATGTGAGTTGTTTAAAAAAAAAAAATCCGAAAACAGTTTTCAAAAATAATTCACAGACACAGTTTCTCTATTTTTTGGAAAATGAAAACAGAAGACAAAACCATTATCATCCTTTGTTGATCACAAATGAAGTGCCAAAAGCAATCTGTCCTTTAGGTTGCTTGCAAAGACACACCTTATACAAAAACAAGAAGACTTAGTCTGGTCTCAATCTCAAATGTAGTTCAGTTAATCAATCAATTTCACTTTTGTCTTTAATCTTCTCTCTCATTAATCTCTATCATCATCATTTTAAGCCCTTGCTCTTTTGGAGTTATCTATCTATCTATTTTCTAATAAGTTGGCTGTTGATAACAAGAATATATAGATGATGCTTTGGTGGTTGAAAATTACCTTTCTTTGACATAATAACATATAGATCAAAATAATTATAAAAAAAGAAAAAGGAAAAAAGAATTCTAGGTATATTGATGATTTTCATTATGAGCATTAATATAATCATAGACATTTTCTCTATACATTTTTTCATGTCTTGCTCTTCTTGCCACAAAGAGAGAGAGAGAGAGAGAGAGAGAGAGAGAGATTAGCCAAGATAATTGACTAACATGGACAAAGGAACCAAACAAAGCCCTCTTTTCTTCAGTTCTATATATTCATTATTCTTCCCTTCAAAAGTCATTTCATTTCTTGAATCTCTATGAAGTTCTGAACTGAAATCAGAGTCACCTCCTTTCCCCTATAATATGATCAGAATATTAAAAAAACATTTTTTTAGATTAATTCAACCCAAAACACCTATATAAATTATATATTTTTTTTTGATCAGCACCTATATAAATTATATGACAAAATCAATATAGAATGAGCCTAAAAAAACAATAACAATGAAAGCTTACGAGAGAACTTTCAACATTATCTCCTCTCTTTCTGGGATTAATATCCATCTGTTTGAAGCTATTAATCTGGAGATAAAGATTTTGAAAATAAAAATGAGTAAAATATGGATTAACAAATTAAAAAAAAAATAAGAGAAAAAGAAATCAAAGCTAGGATGGGCTGACCTTGGGGCTGTTAACAGGAGAACTAGCAGTGTCCTCCAAAGAATCATCATGAGAAATTTCTTTGGTTCTTGCTTTCTTGAAACTTAATTTCTTAGGCATCTTTGGTGGGCTATCCATCGGAGAGCACGTTGCGGAGACTTGGTTGTAATTGTTGATTTTCCTTGGAACACAAGAAGAAGCAGCATCAGAAACAAGAGAAGGGCTGCCAAAGCTATCAGAGAAAGAAGAAGTATTATTATGTTCTTCTTCTTCTTCTTGTTCTCTTTGTTTTGATAAGAAATCTTCAAAGTAAGATGTCCAACCACTCTCTTCTTCAGGACCATCTATTGTGGTGTCCTTGGAGGCAACAGCTTTGTTTACAAGTGAACCTAATGAGTCCTCCATCACAGAGAAAGAGAGAGAGAGAGAGAGAGAGAGAGAGAGAGATGGTTTTGTTTTGTAAGGAAGGATTTGAGAGGCCTTTTTGTCAAGACTCAAGAGGGAGATATATAACAGAAAGGGATGATTAAAAAGAATGGAGAAATAAAGGTGCCCATAATTTAGAATCTTGGTGTGGGCCAGGGAGAGTTGAGGAAGTTGAAATCTGCAGTTGCAACACCAGTTCTTTTAATAATTATAAAAATTGACAGAGGCTTCTCTGCAAGTGGGCTGCGTGGATTAGAGTGTGTTGTTGAATTCATGAGGCTTATTATTGGTCCTATTTCGATGATTTAAATTGTTTAATGTATAAAATTTGTTAAATACTTCATGTTTGTATAAAGAAATCACATTGATTGGATATCCGTAACCCCTTAATCAGAACATATTTTTGTTAATCATTTATTTTTAAAATCATATTTATTATTGACAAAAATATATTTCGATTAAGATGCTAACGATATTTAATTAACGTGATTTTTTACAAAGATGAACTACTTGATGAGTTCTACACATTGACAATACAAATTAATGAAACGGGACCTGTGGTGGGTCTTACAAGTCCAACAATATGTTCCGATCCATATAATTGACTGAAAAAAAACCTCTCCTAAAAATTAATTATAGAATCAAAAACAAAACTATAGGTGAATTTCAGAATATAGAAATAAATCACACAACTCTACACAATCCTATCATATGAGATGAGTTTCACTCTTTTGTAAGTTTCAATCTTTATGTGATAATATTATGTTTAATTTTATGATTGATTTTTGTAATATATAGGATATATATATATATATATATATATATATATTGTTTTGCCCTTTTCGTTAGGGAAGAGAGAGAGAGACAGAGAGACAGAGAGAACGTGCAATGAAGCAAAAAAATGAGAAATGGGGTATGGGGTTGACCATATAGGGTGGTTCAAATGGGATATTCACACAACAGAGGCAGCTATTTTCTTTGCTTGAACTGACCTTTCAACCATATTCATTAAATGAGTTTTGAGTTTTTTTCTTCTTGGTATGCAGTCCATCGTCAGTCATTTGAAAATTCAAAGGAAATTTGGACTTTTTATTTTTTTTTCTTTTTTACGAAAGACTGAAACTAGCGTCCAACCCCAAGTAATAGTTTCATCCCCAAATGACCACTTCATAGCTGTGTAAAATGTTAGTATTTTTTGTAGGGATTTTTATTGTTAAATCTATTTAAAGTGTTTTAACTTAAGAAATTTTGAAGAATTTTTAATTCATTTAGTCTATGTATGTATAGTTTTATTCATAAAGTCTTTTTTTCTTGATTTACACTATTTTCTTGGACACTTATACCCTTATATTTAATTTTGATACCTTTATAAATATTTTTTGAACGGTTAGCATTTTATTATGTGAACATTCATATTTTAAAATTCACATTGGTAGGAATGTAAAATTGGCCCATGGGCGGCCCGAAACCCGCCCGCGAGCCGGAGCGGGCCTGGCCCGGCCCGTTGACAATGTGAATATTCACATTGACATGTTAACATTCACATTAATAGGAGTGTAAAATTGACTCGCATCCCGTGGCGGCGGGAAACCCGCTGGCGGCCCATGGGCCGCCCGGGACGGGCCCGTTGACAATGTGAATATTCATATTGACATGTTAACATTCACATTGATAAGAGTATAAAATTGGCCCGCGGCCCATGGGCGGCCAAAAGCCCGCCCACGGCCCGGGGCGGGCCGGCCGGCCCGTTGACAATGTGAATATTCACATTGACATGTTAACATTCACATTGATAGGGAGTGTAAAATTAGCCCGCGCCTCGTGGCTGCCCAAAACCCGCCTACGGCCCGTGGGCAGCCAGGGGCAAGCCCAGCCCAGCCTGTTAACAATGTGAATATTCACATTAACATGTTAACATTTACATTGATAAGAGTATAAAATTGGCCAGCGGCCCAGGGCGGGCCTGACCGGCCTGTTGACAATGTGAATATTCACATTGACATGATAACATTCACATTGATAAGAGTGTAAAATTGGCCTGCAGCCTGTGGGCGGCCCGAAGCCTGACCGCAGCCCGATCCGTGACATTGTGAATATTCACATTGACATGTTAACATTAACATTGATAGGAGTGTAAAATTTGCCCGCTGTTCGAAGCTTACCTACGGCCCGGAGTAGGCCCGGCCTGGCCCGTTGACAATGTGA